GAGCAAACTGGGGGACTCCTGCAGCCTGATGTCACCTAGTACGAGCTCCATCTGGTACCCTCTTATCCCACTCCTGGCTGTGGCTACACCTGAGGCATGCAGCCATGCCCCACTGCCTACTAGTGATACCCACAGGGCACTTAGCAACCCCAGCCTGCCCTAGCAATGCCATCATGGCACCTCACAACACCACAGTGACCCTTACAAACTGTGACATGGCTCCTAGCAATGCCACTTTGGTGACCCTTACTCTGGTACCCTCTTATCCCACTCCTGGCTGTGGCTACACCTGAGGCATGCAGCCATGCCCCACTGCCTACTAGTGATACCCACAGGGCACTTAGCAACCCCAGCCTGCCCTAGCAATGCCATCATGGCACCTCACAACACCACAGTGACCCTTACAAACTGTGACATGGCTCCTAGCAATGCCACTTTGGTGACCCTTACCAGCCACGGCCCCTAGCACCCCCAGCCTGCCCCGAGTGCCACCACAGTGACCCCTCGTGACACCAGGTGGCCCCTAGGAACAGTGACATGGCCCCTAGCCACCCTGCAGTGTCCCTAGCAGTGACCTCTAGCAACAATGCTGGCACAACTCTTGGCAGTGTCTGGGCAGCCCCTACTGACACAGATGAAGCCCCAAATGACCCCTAGCAACATATCTCCTAGTGACAGGATGATGACCCTTAGTCTCCCAGTGCTGGCCTTAGCAATGCTACAGTGACCCCTAGTGACAGTGATGTGACCCCTAACAACCTGAGGCTACCCCTAGCGATAGCAGCCTGACCCCTAGCAATGCTGGCATAACCCCTTGGAACCTCCGGGTAACTCCTAGTGATGTTGGTATGATTCCTAGCAACACCATGGTAACCCTTAGTGATGTCAAGGTGACCCCTAGTGAGGCTGGCATGGCCCCTAGCAACCACATGACCCCTAGTGACATCCTGGTTATCCATAATGATACCATGGTGACCCCTAGCAATGCTGACATTGACTTTAACAATGTGGTGCTGGTGGTGGCCCCTGGCCAGCGGGGGTGCTGAGGTGGGCAGGGGGCACAACACCAGTGCCAGGTCTGCCCTGGTGCTCCCCTGCCCTGGCAGGCTGGGATGAGCTGATGCCAAAGCCTGCACTGTGCACTTCCCCCTCCCGTGCCTGTCATGGGCCTGGCCCTGTGGCAGGACTCCCGCTCCTGTGGTTCCAAGCTAAGTGGAAACACATGTCCCAGCACTGCTTGCCCAGTTCCACATCAGACCCCGGCCCCCCCCCAAACTCCCTCCCCAGCCCAGCCTGGGATCGGCCTGCACATCTCCGGAGCCGCGTCCCCACCATGCCTGGCCAGTACCTGGGGCAGGAGTCCTGCCCCGGCCCCCAGGGTAACAGCTGGGGCACCTGGGGCTGGATCCCCCTGGGGCAGGGGGGTTGAGGTTCCTGTACAGTGACAGGGCTTCCCAGGGGCCACAAGTGAGGTGGGAGGGAGCTAGAGTGGGAGCTGGTGGGGAGGGAGTAGGGGCCTCAGGAGGTGGGGAGGTGGGGAGCAGAGCCGGTAGGGCTGAAAGAGGCCACAGACCGGTATTGCAGAAGGGGCTGCATTGAGAGCAGAAAGGGGGTCCCTGGGAGGCTGGAGGCAGTGGTCCTGGGACAGCAGAAGTGTGGGGCCCCTGTGGGATGGGGGTGGCAGAGCCCCATGAGTCTGGCCAGCTCAAACCCTGAGAAGGAAGCCAAAGCCTTCCCAGGATGAAATACAGGGGCTCTGGGGAGGGACAGGAGACTGGGGGGAGGGGGGTCCCCTGAGCATGGGGCTCTCACGTGTCCCCTCCGGCCCCCTGCAGACAGCGCCATGTCAGCAATCTACAGCGAGGTGGCAGGAGATGAGCCCCCCGGGGACAGCTTCTGGATGGTGAGTGGCTGGGGGAGGGGGCAGAAACAAAGCAGCTGGGGTAAGGGGTTGCTGTAAGGGGGCTGGATCCAGGGGGAGGGCATTGTCCAGGCAGCAGACAGTGGAAAGCTGGCACCCTGGTTCATATTGGGGAGGGAAGCCATGGGGAGAGATTCTAGGCCCGGCAGCCATGGGGTAAGGGTCCCAGGTATCTGATCCCCACCACCTCTGTGTACTCCCTCCACAGCCAAAGCAGTACCAGAGCACAGTGCGGCGCCTGGATAATGGATACCAGGTCTGTGACCAGCTGGTCAGCTGCTTCCAGGAGCGGGCAAGGGTGGAGCGCACTTATGGGCAGCACCTGGCACGCTGGGTGCAGAAGTGGCGCCCTCTGGTGGATGCCAGTGAGTTGTCCTCTTCCCCACCAGTAGTACCCAAAGCCCCTGCACCTCTTCCCTCAGCATGGTGCCCCCTACCCACTCCCCTGCCAAGCTCCCCCAGGTTTGCCCCCGGTGCTCGCAGACCATGCCCATGCTGGCTCTCCTCCAGGCCCCACATATGGCACTGCGCGCCGGGCCTGGCAGGCTTTTCTAGATGCCACAGAACGGCTGAGCCAGCTGCATGGGGAGATGCAGCAAGCGCTGGTGGCTGAGGAGGTGGCCCGGATGCGGGCCTGGCAGCGTGATCACTACCACCGCAAGGTGCTAGGTGGCTTCCGTGAGGCCTGTGACCTGGAGAATGGCTTCCGGCGTGCCCAGCGGGGCTGGACCCGCAAGCTGCACAAGGTGGGCACAGGGCAGCAGGCGGGGGCGGGTGGCATGGGGAGCTGGTACCATGCAGGGGATAGAGGAGTGATATGGGGAGTTAAAGGGGTGGTACCAATCAGGGGCTGGGGGATGGCATGGTGTCATGCAGGGGCTGCAGTGGTGGGGGCTGGCAGGGGCACTATTGTCGTTCCTCTGTAATTTTTCCAGTTGGGAACCTTGGGCCACCCCCGTTAGGTGGCCGTCAGTGTTACTGGCACCCGGCGGGTTGCCGGGCAGGTCTTTCCTTGGAACCTTGGACAAAAAAAAAATTCTTCGGGGGCCGCCACTGTACCTAAAGTAAGGCGGCTGGGCTCCCGATCTTTACACAAAAATTACGTGGGCTGGCAGGGGCATAGTACCATGCATGGGCTTGGGGTTGGCCACTTAGGAAGGGGACACTGCATGGGGCAGGAAGCTCAGGGAGCACCAGGCTGCCATGGGTGCCAGCATGTCAGGCAGGGGCATGAAGTGTGTATAGGGGGTCATCAGGACCAAAGGGGCTGGGGGGGCGTGTTCTGGGTTGGGATCCCAGAGTCCCCTCTGCGCTCAGGAGCCCCTCACCACCCTGCCCCCCCAGGTGGAGAAGGCGAAGGCAGCATACCACCTGGCCTGCCGCAAGGAGCACCAGGTTGCAGGGCGTGAGGCTGGACCCCCAGGGGGGCCACCACTTGCCCCTGACCGCCAGCGGGCCCTGAGGGAGGAGCACCAGCGCCGCACTCAGGAGACCCACAAGGTGGGTCTCTGTCCCTCCTCCCCGTTCCCCCCAGCGCCCCTCTATCCCAAGGTCAGGCACCCCCTGTACTCCCCATGCCATCCTCAGTGCCAGGGCCATCACCATCCCAGGCCCAGAACCAGACCCCCCACCTGCCACATGGGGCTGGACCCCTCTTCCACTCATCCCAAGTTCCTCCTAGCACCCCCTGCCCATGCTCACCTTTCTCCACCACAGCCCCTCCCCAGGATGCCTCCTCACCTGCCAACTCCACCCTGGCCCTACCCCTCAGGTTTGTTTGCCCTAATCCTCCCAGACACCCCCTGCCCCTTCCCCCCCATTCTCAGTACTCACCTGCCTGTGCCTCCCCCAGGAGCGCCAGCGCTATGAGCATATCCTGGCTGAGCTGACCCGGGCCAGCCCGCGCTACATGGAGGAGATGGAGATGGTGTTCGAGCAGGGGCAGGCCCAGGAGCAAAGGCGTATCGCCTTCCTCAAGGACACACTTTTGGCCCTCCAGCGCCGCCTGGATCCTACCACACACCCTGGGTAAGGGGTGCCCCAGGACCTAGCCCCACCCCCCCAAGTAAGGGGAACCCCCAGAGCCCACCCCCAAAGTAAGGTGGCACCCAAGAGCCTAACCCACCCTGGAGAGAGGATATCCCCATCTCAGGTAAAGGCGGGGCTGCT